AAAAAAAATTCTTTTTTAGTTGTAGATGGACACAATACCTTTAGTTTGTTAAATATTTATTTTTTTATGTGGTGTTGAGGATCAAACCCAGTGCCTCACACATGCTAGGCGAGCACTCTATCACTAAACCACAACCCTAGCCCAGAAACCCAAATTTTACAATTGTTTCTCTACCTCAGAATGTTCTTTAAAAGAAATCAGTGGTACCATTTGAAAATTGAAATTGAACTTTGATTTCTATTTAAATGGAAGAACAGCAGAGTTTGCTGTAGTAAATTAGTACTGAGGATGGAAATGGGTGAGGACTCACAAACATTTTAAGACAAACCAGAATGAATTTTAAATGTTACTTTGGAAACTTTTATATTGGAAAATTTTAAGCCAGTCTAGGGAGCACATCAAATTCTAGTAAGACTGTTCTGTAATGAAGCACAAAATGTATACAGCTCTTGTCCAGTGGTAATTGGAAAGAAAATAGGTCTCTCGCATCAGAACTGTCAGAGATGAGAGTCCTTGTTGAGGTTCCTCAAATGGAAACCTATCAGTCAACAGACTTTCCTGTCCAGGAAGAACTATGTTGTAACTTGTGACAGTCCTGCTCCTCATGTTTACATGCCTCTCTGAAGTCAGAAGCCATCATATAAATAAAATACCATGTCAGAAATAGAAATGACCATTTTCCTAAAATGTATGCCATAGCAGTATTTGTTTGACTAGAAGAAAAAAGAAACAACTGGTCGTTTTATTTATTTGTCTTTTTGCCTAGTATAAGAGCTTAATGTATTGTACTTTTGATTTTTTTTTTAAATAATTTTTAGTTGTAGTTGGACACAATACCTTTATTTTATGTATTTATTTTTATGTGGTGCTGAGGATGGAATCCAAGGCCTTGCATGTGCTAGGTGAGTGCTCTACCGCTGAGCCACAACCCCAGCCCTGTGTACTTTCATTTTTAAAAAAAAAAAAAATATATATATTTTTAGTTGTAGATGGACACAATACCTTTATTTTATTGTATTTGTTTTTATTTTTATGTGGTGCTGAGGATCGAACCCAGTGCTTCACCCATGCGAGGCAGGCGCTCTACCTCTGAACCACACCCCCAGCCTCTATAAAGTGTTCTGGTTATAAACCTTAAATCTGTTGAAGAAAATTCTTCACCTTCTCATCCACAGCTTTACACAAACTAATCACAGTTAAATTTTAGCATCTTCAAACCGGGACAAGTGGGTTAAAAATTATACTAATTGATATAATACCAATGATAGTTAAAGTAGTTGCCTATTTTTTAGAATTCATATTATGCAAAACTGAGATGACCTAATTTAGAGCATCCCAGTCAAAATAAGTGCCCAGGCATAAGCTGCCAGGGTAGATTTCAGACAAAATTATGTGAAGTGTTTTTGTTGTTGTCGTTTGTTTTGTTTTGTGTTTGGAGCTCAAACTGCAGATTGATTAACTAAATTTATGTTTCTCTAAAGTGTACTTCCTTCAGTGTTTGAAATTGAAGTTGAATTTCTTATTGTGGAACCAAAAGTATCTTCTGTTAAAAGAAGGCGTAGAAGGCTGTTAAAAGTATACTTTGCGGACCCAAACATGAGCCTCATCATCTTATTAAGAAATGGGTGGTATACAACCAAGGATATGAAAAACTGTGCTCTATATGTGTAGTATGAACTGCAACGCATTCTGTCATATATAACAATTTGTTTTAAAAATGGGCGGGGTACTTGAGCAGACATTTTGTCCAAACAGCCTTACATAGATTCTCTTGTTCCTGTTCTGACACTGGCCACCTGATAGCTGTTAACACATGCCCTGCTCCATAGGTCATTGCTCACTTTCTAGACAAGTGCCTCCTAACTCTTTCAGTGAGAACTTTAAAGGGGGAAGCCAAAAATGTACAGCCCCTTTACTGTAAGTTTTTGATTTTTTTGTTCTCCTGATTAAAAAAAAAAGTATATGACAAAAAGGTACCTGAATTTATCTAGTAGTGGTAAATGCCTAAAGATTTTTTTGTTCTTGTAACAATGCTTGGTCTTTTCAGTGGCTTCTCAGCTCTTTCACAGGAACTACTCAGGGGCCCATAGGTTAGCGATTCCCAATTACTGAATCTTCTTCAGGGCTTCTGTTAGGCATTTATGATTTCAACTACATTTGATATTGTTTCACATAGTGTTTGTATTTCTTATAACCAATCTTTTTTCTCTTTTTGAAGCTTAACTTTTTTTTAATGTTTATTTAGTTGTAGATGAGCACGTAGAATCTTTATTTTTATGTGGTGCTGAGGATTGAACCCAGGGCCTCACACATGTGAGGCAAGCGATCTACCGCTGAGCCACAACCCCAGCCCTTGAAGCTTAACGTTTTTTCCTTGTTATATAGTTATGTGGTGTACTTGATTCCTTAACTCCCTTTCTAGACACTTTTTTAAAAAAAACTTTCAGGTAATTTTATACACAAACTGAAAGCAGGGTAAATTGCAAAGTAATGATCTTGATTTGGAGTTCTAGATATGTATCAGGTGATAAACTATAAAATGTTAAGGCTCATAAGCATTCCTAACTGCCCTATTTTGAGTTATCTATTCCCAAATACAAACCACTATCTCAAAAAAAGCACTAGAGGAAGCTTTTTAAATTCAGAGATTCTAGGCTAGGAGGGATCCAAGGAATCTTTATTTCAAAAGCCCCATAATTTATTTTGATGTTCAGAGAAATTTGGGGACCTCCATTTTTCTGTATAGTTTATAAAATCTGCTTATAATGGCATTGTTAAACTCCCCCCTCCCCCTAAATACTAAGGGGCCAGCAGAATTGGGCCTAAGCTAACATGTCACCTAGGGTTAGGCTGATCTTTTTTTCTAGGCTGACTTCTTAGCATCATCAAGTTGGATATGAAGAAAATAGTAGGGGTCATCTTGGAATATAGTTAGTGGATTTTAGAGAGCTTTTCTGTACAAAGAAACCTTTGCCTTTAAGACTATATCATGAAATATATGAGAGATTAGAAACAGAAATTTATTTCTCAGTTTCTGGAGGATAGAAATCTAAGATAAAGGCACTGGGAGCTTCAGTGTTATTTTCCAGGTGGCTCTCTCTCACAGGACAGGGAGAGTTAGGGGTGTGTATGTGTGTAGACTGAAACCACCCCGACTCATAACCTACTTTCATGACCTAATCTCCAATAGCCCCCACCTCTTAATAACATCTCATTGTAGGTTAGGATCTCAACATATTGGAGGGAGGGGACAAACATGAAAGCAAGCTTCTGATGACAGAGGACCAGTTTTAATCTCACTGGAGAGGTTACAGCATGTTTCTAGAAGGAGAGGGCTGATTAAGAGCCTCAGTCTTGAAAATTATGGTCAGATGTCATGTAAAAGCAGGAAGTCACTTTAAAAAAAAACACAAAGATAAAAACTTGTTTTAGTTTGGATATATATTTAATAGTTCCTGGGCATACTATTATCCCTAAGATTTTTTAAGACCATACTGTTTGAGCCAGTGGGGATATTAATATCTGTGATCACTGTGAGTCTCTTGTTCTCATTCTCTTTCCTGTGAAGCAGGTGGTGTAAAACTAGGTTTAGTAACTTGCTCAAGGTCCCATGGTAAGTGCTCCAGTCAGTTTCTAAGCTCTTTCTGCCTGTGACCAGCTCAGTTTGAGCCCCATTCTCCCTCAAGATCAAAATGTCATTTTCTCATGTTTCTATTGCTTCTCCCAACCTAAATTTCAGACTGAAAGAAAAAGGAAAAAAAAAAAAACATAGACTAACAGGTAGGCTAGTACATGAGCATTCAATAACTGAGTGAATAAATCCAGTTTGTGCCACACATTTAGAAGAGCAGTTTGCCTTAGTTTTCAAGTCTTTCTAAGCACAGACCTTGTTTACCTGACACACATCATTCTTCAGGCAGCTGTTATGGTGAAGGTTGTAACTAGTTGTAACTAGTCACTCTACACCATTAACCGTGCCAAAGTCATGCAATAGCAATTCCCAGTTGTTTTGTCTTTTTTCTCTCAACACCACAATACTTCATTTCATGATTTGGAGAGGAATGTTAAGCTCTTTGTCGGTGTTAGAATTGGAGGGTAAAGTTTTTAAAAATTGTGTTAATGTACTTGATACAAAGCCCGCTGGAAGCCAATACAATGCTTTGGAAGTGTATTATGGTGAAACTCTGGTATAGCTGAGTGTATTTAATAGGTTGAATTAATGTTGCAACTATAATAGGGAAACTCAGTAGCAGAAATTAATGTATTATTGTCATTTTCCTCCCATCTGGCAAAGTTTATAATGTAATTATAATAGTTTATTAGATTCTTTTGTTTTAATTGTGTGTATAATATGTGTAGATTCTTTTTTAAAGTTAAGATAATTGAGATAAAGAGCAAGGACGCACAGCTGCACCAGTTATTGGGTCATAAAATGAAACGTGTTGAAAATGGTCACAAGTAATGATGTAGATCAGAGGAAAATCTTTAGTCATTTGCCACTAATTTAGCTTCTATGTAAACATGTCTTTTTTTGTGTTTGTTTTAAGTACCTTTTTTGTGGGGAGGAGTACTAGGTTTGAATTCAGGGTACTTTACCTCTGGGCTCCACCCCAACCCTTTAATTTTTGAGACAGGGTCTTGCTTAGTTGCCCAGGCTGGCATTGAACTTGGAAATCCTCCTGCTTCAGCCTGCCGAGTTGCTGCATTATAGGCATGCCCCACCATGCCTGGCTCTTTTCATTTTCTTGTGTGACAAGGAGAGGTGTGAGAGTTGAGGAATGTTTCTTGCTTGGTGACAGCTAAGTGAACTTAGAATGGATTTAATATTCTTTTACATCCAGTTTTTTGACTAATGGCTGATGGGTTTGTTGCAATTTTATCAGATTGTTTCTGAAAGGCACAATTTTGTGAAGAGAATGAAAATATTTAAAACGGAAGAGATATAGTGTAAAATTGGGATAATGCTACCACCTACTTATCTGGTGTATATTACTTCACAGTGCTGGTCCCAAAGGTGATAACATCTATGAATGGAGATCAACCATTCTAGGGCCTCCAGGATCTGTGTATGAAGGTGGTGTATTTTTCCTCGATATCACTTTTACACCAGAATATCCCTTCAAGCCTCCAAAGGTAAGAAATGGCCCTGATTTATGCTCAATATCTCTCATAATTCCTATGAGAATAAAATTTAATTACTGACAAAAACTATAGATTTTTATTATGTCCTAATGAATCTTAAGAATATTTGAGCATACCAAATACCACTTGGGTTTGCCTCATTTGCCAGAGACCATTTCTAGGAGTGTTTAAAATTATGCCATTTCTGGTAACGTTGTTAGCAATCAATAATTGATCCCTTATTTTCCACCCCACAGAAACATTCCTGAACAATTTAAAATAGCATGATGATACTTACACAGTCAAAAACTGAAACACTTAATCTTCTACCGAAGTTTTGGATTCTGTTTTTCTGTCATCTTTGGTCTCATTCACATCCTTACCTCTAGGCCTTACTTTTTACACTAGTACAATTAAAGACTGCCCAACTCCCTCATGTCTATTATAACTACCCAATAGTCTCTGGTTCTCACCTGAACTGTCAGGAGAACATGTTGGGGATTGGGTAGAATGAATGCAAGAAAAGTTGGGTCTTTTTTTTTTTTTTTTTTAATGGTGGTCACAGAGAATTTTTACATTTCAGGGTACATTACAAAAAATTAGGAAACCAAAGTGACTCATTACTGACTGTTCAGTTGTGGAAATATTAATAAATTCTGTCATTTAGGTAAATATACAGATCTGATATGCAGGTCAAAAGAGGGAAGTATACTTCAAATTTTGTACTTTTTTTTTGGTGTGTAGCCATTGTTTGCTAGTTTTTTTAAAAAAATATATATATATTTTAGTTGTTGATAGATCTTTATTTTATTTTATTTATTTATATGTGGTGCTGAGAATCGAACCCAGTGCTTCATGCATGCCAGCCAAGTGTGCTACCACTGAGCCGAAGCCCGAGCCCCTGTTTGCTAGTTTTTAAAGCATTTATGATGACATAAGATTCTCAATATTTGATTCTGATGCTTGCTTTGAACTAGTGTAGTACTACCTTCTAACACAAGAGGTCAGCAAATAGTTGTTCAGACTTGGAAATATTAATATTTAAAAGGTTAAAATTGCTAGATGATTTGAGGAAGTATTACATCTCCTTTGCTTTGGTCAGAAGTCATTACTTTAAAAGGAAATTCATAATTCAAGGTGGGATCAAATGAACATTTTCTAGCCTCAGATTTATTAAAAGTCTTACCTATCTTGTCAGCTTTAAACTATTATTCACTTTATTAACTGGAAATCTAGAAGATTTTTAGTCTTACTGTTTTGAATATTGTTTGATACTTTGTTTTTTTTTTTAAGGTTACATTTCGAACAAGAATCTATCACTGTAATATTAATAGTCAAGGAGTTATTTGCTTGGATATATTGAAAGATAATTGGAGTCCAGCACTAACTATTTCTAAAGTTCTCCTTTCTATCTGCTCACTTCTTACAGACTGTAATCCTGGTAAGGTTAATATAATTGTTTTATTCTTCCTCATGTGAAAAATACTTGTTTTCCACATAAACTAAGATTTTCTAAAGGTGGGGTTTGTTTTTCTAAGAACTTTCAAAGGAAGCTTTAATCAGTAAAGTTCAATCCTCTTGTTAAAAAATGCAGCAACTGCAGCATTGATACCTCCTAGAAACAAGGTATTTTAACTGACTTTACACACAAAATGCCCACCCTGAACTCTGGCCATATTGAGTATTGCCTCTCAATATTGTTACTTAATGATTGCTGAATTGTGATTTTTGTTGAGACTTCATTTCATTTTAAAAGACTTTTTTTTTTTTTTTTCCTGGCTAAGCCAAATGTAAGTCCAGGTTTTGACCTGGCTCTTTCTAGGCAAATAGCAGTGTTGCAATAAATGGTGTTATACTGCAGTAGCCATGGGGACTTCACCGTATTCAGGGTGCCATGATGAGTGCCAAAAAACATCTAGAATGTCAAAATTGTGTTTTAGGGTGGGGTTGATCATGAGTACGTTGTACACTTCTACTTACGCTAAGGTGCTATTAATTTAAAATGTTCTACATTTTCTTCTTCCAGCTGACCCTTTGGTGGGAAGTATTGCCACTCAGTATATGACCAACAGAGCAGAACATGACAGAATGGCCAGACAGTGGACCAAGAGATACGCTACATAAATTGGGTTTTCACAATTCTTACATTATTTGTCTGTCACAGAAGAAGAGCTGCTTATGATTTTCAAGGGGTGGGGGAGGGTGGGAGCTGGTAAAGAGTAGGGTATTTCTATAACAGATATTATTCAGTCTTATTTCCTAAGATTTTGTTGTAACTTAAGGTATCTTGCTACAGTAGACAAATTGGTAATAGCATCTTTTAAAACTGTCATTAGTTCTGCAATATTAGCTGAAATGTAGTACAGCAAAGAATGTACATTTAGACATTTGGGTTCAATTGCTTATAGTCTAATTTTAAAACAGCTTAATTTTGTACAGGTTACACATATGGCCATTTATGTAAAAGTCCTAAGACTACATACTCTTTGTTTAAAAAAAAAATTGGAATTTTTTTCCCTTCTTGAAAGGGAACATTGCTATTTAACAGTTTTTAGACATTGTCATCTCATATATATATATATATAAGACACCATATAGGAAATCAGTAGTTAATGTATTTTATTTTATATGCAAATCTACTTTAAAGGTTTAAATCAGGACTTGTGAAAACCTGTAGTGAAATACCTTAAGCTGTTAAGGTGTGAAATAGGAGTCACTCAGTGGATTGGTTATATGTTGTAGACTTCTTACGTCTGCATTTGTTACTGTGCTAATAAACAATATTAAAACAACTACCTGCCACTGCTGTGTTGATTTACTTTGTTTTGCTTTTTGGTTGTAGATTTTTTTTTTAATATTTATTTTTTAGAAGTAGTTGGACACAATACCTTTATTTTGTTTATTTTTATTTGGTGCTGAAGATCGAACCCAGGGCCTCGCACATGCTAGACGAGCGCTCTACCGCTGAGCCACAGTCCCAGCCCCGTTTTGGTAGATTATTTGCTTCTAAAACAATCTACTCAGTGAATCAGTATCGTTTATGTTAGGACTGGTAACAGAGTTAGAGATGTCTTAGAAAAAATTAAATAATCTAACCCGTCTACATTTCCAATGAACTAACTCTACTGCATCTTTTTAAAAGCATTTCTAATTTGGAGATGCTGTGGATTCTGTTGTGGATAAATTAGTACAGCCACCTTAGAGTTTACTCCAGTAAAATCATCCAGGGGCCCAAGTTCATTTGAGGATTTAAAAATATGGTTAACTCTTAACTTGATGGGTATTAATATAGATCTACTATTACAGGGGTGTATGTAAAATACACAGGGAAGAAAGCCAGAAGGTAAGTAACTGAGAGAAGACAAGGAAAGAAAGAATACCTGAATAACTTTTCAGTCCCCTCTCATATGTATTTATGTGTATTAGTCCTTGGCTTGATCTCACCTACCTGAGCCACCCAAGTTTAATGAAAGTATCTCATTTTAAATGTTAATTATATTCTTTGCTGAATAGCTCATTTCATATTTTAAAGTCAGTTAACCACTAACCACCAAATAGCTCATTTCCTACTTCTTATATTAGTTATAATGCTGTCAAGTTGCTAAATATAGCCACATTGCTCAATTCTTGCCAAAATCTCCAGCAAACCATAGAACAGTCAATCCTGTTGATCTTTTAGACCACCAATAATCCAGTATTTGCAGGATGTATTTATTACATCTAGCCAACGATTCCTAAAGATACAGTACTACTGTAAAAATGTAAGTACATTTCAAAAGAAAGAAGACCCTCTATATTTGGCTTCTTGACAGGAACCTAACAACTCAAGAAGAAAACAAAGGCTTGAATGTGATAAACCTTCTCACAGCTCACAGTGCCAATCCCTACCACCTGAAGTCATCTTAAAAGAAAAAATGGAGCATACGAAATCACAAGGCTGAGGAAGCAGCTCTGTGGTAAAGCACTTGCCTGGCATGTTGAGGCCCCAAGTTTGATCGTTAGTACCACCCACACATAAAATACACAGACACCTAAACCATGATTTCTGTCCTATTCAGTAAAAATCTCCATAACACAAAATTTTAGCTTATGTTGTGTCCAAATTGTTAATTGTTATTGTTCCAAACTGGGTATGTCAAAAAAATGTTTTCTAACCCTAGTCATTAGATTACTTTATTAGTAATGTTTGAACTAAGTTTGTGTGAAGTTATATAGAATGAGTATGACAACTTTTGAAATAGGTTGGGGGGATTCATACATGGGTTCATTTGCACACTATCCAAACTTTATTTTACTACTTTGATAGGTGGAACATTCATAAAAACAAAACACGCTAATTTCAGGAACATATTTCAAACAGAGAATATATTTCATATCAGGCAATACTAATAAACTTAGTCCAGTAACATAAAGTGCATTTCATTACTTCCTTAGATGTTTCCTTACCAACCAAGATATATACAAATGGTCTATTTTAAATATCAATCTTCACATACATAGACACTTAAAAGCAGTCATTATTCAAAAAACAATTGTGGAATTACTAATTTTTAGTTCTCAGAGTTAGAGTTCCCTTTGTTTTTCCTCCCAGGCAAAGGAAAGCTGGATTTGCTCTGGGGTTGGGATAGTTTACTGGCTAATAAAGTGAAGGGCTCAATCAGAGTTTTCCGGTCTGTGACAGTCACCTCCCACAGTCTTACTTTCTCGCTTTTTGCCCACTGCTGTGCCACCTCGGCATCCACTTGTCTCTGCTCAGAAAGGTCGATTTTGTTTCCTAATACAACAATTGCTACCTGGATGGAAAAATGGATTAAAGAGATTATACTTTGCCAACCTGTTTATAATACCACAGTACTGAATGAACTTAGTCCTATAAAAAAACGAGTTACAATACAATTTAGTGGGTTTTAAGTATGTAAATGACCCAAGAAGTCATGTGCTGGGGATCAAACCCAGGGCCTCACATGCCAGGCAAGTGCTCTACCATTGAGGCACAACCCCAGCCCCTCATGTTATGATTTAAATGGTAATTTATACTTAACCTCTTTTTTGTCTTTGAACTTATCAATTTCTTTCTTCAGAAGCTCCACTCTTTGAAAGGATTCCAGGTTATTCACACTGTACACTAAAACAAAGCCATCAGCAAATGAAAAATAATGCTTTGGGAGCTCCACGCCTTCCTGTAGGCCTCTGGTGTCATAAAGATGTAACTGTTCTTTTACTCCCCGATCTGTTTCCACAGAAGCCATGTATACATCTTCCATTGTTTCACAATCTTCCATTCCTGGGATTAAAAAGAAATTGCCGTTTTTAGATAAACCAGTGTCAGTTATTCAGTATTTTGTTGTCCTTTAAAGGTTTCCTATTTTTGATATATAATAATCACATTTCTACTTTATTAGTGACTTCTTGAATAAGTAGCTGTTCATAGTAAATTGACAACATGACTTTTGAAAATATTTCTTCTGGCTTGGTGCCGTGGTGCATGTCTATAATCCCAACAGCTCAGGAGGCTTAGACAAGAGGGTCACAAGTTTGAAGCCAGCCTTAGTGATTTAGCAAAGCCCTAAGCAACTTGGACCCTAACTCAAATAGGTGCTGGGGATGTAATTTAGAGGTAAAGCACGCCTGGGTTAAGTCCTCAATATGTGTGTTATAAGTATCAATTGTAAAAATCAAAAGCATTTACTACTTAGATTGGAAAGTTCAGGTTGATTTAAAAAGCTTCAACTACTAAGTGGCACTTTTTCTTCTCCATCAGAATTAATGACAGGATCTGGAATGAAATTTGCCATTTTCTTTCTTTTTTTAAATTTGTTGATAGACCTTTATTTTATTTATTTATATGCAGTGTTGAGACTCGAACCCAGTGCTTCACACATGGCCAAGCAAGTGCGCTACCACTGAGCCACAACCACAGACTCAGCCCAAATTTGCTATTTTCTATAGAACTCCCCAGGTCTTTTCTATAGAACTCAAAACTACACGTGTCCAGTCTGTGTCCCAGTACTGGGCCTTTAATCCACAAGTACCTACTGGTCACTTTTATGTGAATGTCCCTCAAGCACTTCAACTAATATTTTTGTCATCATCCTTCCATTCCTGTTCCTCCTCCTTGCTTTCTTCCCTTGATCACTACTTACCACGATGTCCTCGGTTTTTTATGAGCAAAATCAGAAGGTTACCTCAAACCATCCACTCTGCTGCTGAAATACCTGCTTGATTCCTGCCTCCTACTTCAACTGGATTGCTACCTTCACCTGAAGTACTGTGATAGATCAGTGACCACCTAGTACCTTCCACCTGAACTACTATGATAGATCAGTGAACACCTAGTAAATACCTCAGACCCTTTGAAGATGCTGCTGAAATGTCAGTCATGTGGACCTTCTCTTAATTATCCCATTTTCCTCCTGCTACTACTGGGCCTTGGACAGGTAATACCATTTTATACTTCAGTCTTTCCATATCCAACCCCTCCAAGTGGACTGTAAACACCTTGAGAATCTAGACTAGTTTATCTTTATAGCTCTGAGAATGAACAAACTTACATTCATAGAAGGTCCTTAATACATGTTTGCTGAATGAATGGCCTCATAACTGATAAGCCAATTTCAGTTCTCCTCTTGCCTATGATCTTTTAAAAATGCATTTTACCAATTTGTTCCATGATTGCAGGTTATTCCATTTTTGCAGGATTTGTCTCTTCAATGAGTCTATAAGTTGCTTAAGTGAAAGGACCCATTCTGTGTATGCTGTAAATAGTTAATAATCCTTTGTTGATATAGGAATTAAAGGAAGAAAATTAACACTTAGAATTTTTATGAGTAGAGCAGAGACATAAGATAGGTATGATTATGGTCCCAATAACCACCTTCATATTTAAACCTCATGTTTAAATATGAGCTACATCCAGAGGAGAACTCGTGGACTAACACACTACACATACACACAAACTGTCACATTTGAAATTCGGTTATGGTTTTCCTAAACAACCTAATACTATAGAATGACTTATTCCAGATGCATTATATGAAATGTTCATCAGCTGTAAATAAAATCTCCATTTTACAAGGAATAATCATCTAATGATTAGATCATGAGAATACAAGAATTTACTTTCATCAGCCTAACTTTTCAAGGAACATGGCTGGTGTTTAATAAGGGAAAATTCTAAGTTTGATTATATGAACTTGTGTCTGTATCATCCTGTCATAAATTAAGCTGTCATAGATTAAGTTAATAATTTTAACTGGATTGCTAAGGGCTATTCTATTAAGACAAAGTTATTGGGCTTTGATTACAGTGAACACTAGCGGAGGCAATCAAGTGACATACCTGCACATACAGGGTACACATAGTAAATGTTGAACTCCTCCTACCTCCACTCTCTTCCCTTTCTCTGCTCCTAAAACTTTGGCAGTCAGGCCTTTACTCCAATGCCAAAGAATGTGACCAGTAAAAAAGGAAAAATTCTAAATGTATTGATATCTAGGGTTTTCCAACAAATGCTCAGTCAGATCCCTTTTGTGAAACTCAAAGTCATGAACCCTGTCCATTTGCTTAGAGCTCCCAGTTAGCCCTGTAGGCCTCCATTCTTTATTAGCAGATAACCAAAGTTTACCAGACAACTGAGGAAAGTAGACTCAAAAGTCAGAAAAGAAGGGTTGTGACTCAGTGGTAGAGCGCTTGCCTAGCACATGCAGGGTCCTGGGTTCAATCCTCAGCACCACATATAAATCAATAAAGTAAAGGTATTGTGTCCTAAATAAATATTTTTTAAAAAAGAGAAAAGAGTACTTTGGAGGAAATGGACTATGCAAACGAAAACCAAAACACTACCTAACAACAGGGAAACTAGATAGTATAACAGTTCTTATTTCACAGATGCACTAAGAAATAAGAAATAAAAATTCAATGAAAGGACTGGAAAATATGAGGAAATATCACCTAAAATGCAGAAAAAAATATTAAGAAAACCAGAGGATTAATCTAGAAGGTCCAACATCAATAAAGAGTTCCATAAAGAGAACAGAAGAGCATCCACAAAATAATTCACAACTGAAGAATATACATATCATATTGAAAGAAGCCACAGTGCCTAGTACAATGGATGAAAACAGACCAGTTTTATGACACATCACTGTAAAATTTCAGAACAGTGGTGTCTTGATCCATCTGTGCCATTACAACTAGATCCCACAGACTAGGTAATTTATAAACAACAAATTTCTCACAGTTCTGGAGGCTGGGACACCCAAGATCAAGGCACTAGCAGGTTTGGTGCCTAGGAAAGGCCTAGTCTCCTCTTCCAAGGTCGTTCCTCATTGCTGCACCCTACAAAGGGGTCAAACACTGTGTGCTTACTTGACAGAAGGGGAAGACAGCACTTCCTTCAAGCCCAAGTTTTTTTATAAAGTTGCTAAATCTCACTCGAGGGCAGAGCTTTCATAGTTCAATCACCTCTTGAAGACCACACCTCTTAATACTGTTGGAAAGGGATTAAGATTCAACATGAATTTTGGAGGGTCACTATCATTCAAACCACAGCAAGTGGGGAACACAGTAAGGCTTCAGAAGCTTCCAAGCATCCTAACAGTTCCCAGGTTCTCAGAAGCAGCACAACATTCTACTTTTTGACTCACATGGTGATTATCCAAACATGGCTTATAAGTGTGCATTTAAAAAGTATTCATTTTAGTAAGAGGAGAAAAGATGACACTAGATCAATAAAGCTTTCAAAATTCTGAAAGTATTTTCAACCTAGAATTGCATACCCATCAGAATTATAATTCATATGTGAGGGTAAAATAGAGATATTTTCAAGCATGCAAAGCCTCAAAAACGGTATCGTTTATATTTTGTCAAAATGGTTAATAAAAGAAATGTGCTCTAAGCTACTTGCCAAAAATAAATACTTTAATACTTTGTCGATCCATATTTACTTATCTCTTAGATAAACCTCTTTTGTAATGTCTGTCTGCCTTACCATGACCTCCTTAAAACCAAAAATGATACTTCACCTCTGTAACTCACTGAATGAATAATCCAACTCACAAAATTAATTCATAGTACAGCAAACAGCTATATCTTCCATTTTTAAAAATCTACAGAATACTCTTGGAAAGCCATATTTCCAGTATGGATCCTTCCAATGTATTCTTTCTCTAGACCATCATTTTTTTTTTTAATAAACACAGAAAACCACATACGTACAAAAGAATATATATTCATATCCATCAGCCATTTCTTACCTGTTTTAACAACCACTGCTAAATTTCAATAAAATCAATATTTTTTCCTCTCCTCTATTCTCTACTTCACTTTGGTGTACCATCACCCATCTTTAGTTTAGCATAACCAACAAAAACCCTCCAGAGAAAAACTAGAGAAAAATAATCTTACCAATAGTATGATTCCCATAAAGGAGCTGCTCCAAGATTGCGGTTTTCCCCACAGACAACAATCCACAAACTACAACCTTGCATCCCTTTCCCATCTTCTCTCAGGATATCACTGTGAAGAGAATGAAAGCTCTTAAAATTGTATACTGTTGAAGAGCTGGGCACCATGGCACATGCCTGTGATCCCAGTGACTTGGGAGGCTGAGGCCTTAACCAACTCAGTGAGACCTTGCTCAAAATAAAAAATAAAAAGGGCTAGGGGTGTTGCTCAGTGGTTAAGCACTCCTAGGTTCAATCCCTGGTACAAAAAAAAAAAAAAGTATACTTTAGAAACCAGTATACTTTTCTTTTAAGGTTGATATTTAATCAGTTTTGTATATATAGGGGAAATTTCAAATATAAAAAAAGGATAAAATAAGGTATATCCTTCCAAACCCCATTCCCTTAGTCTCCTATTTGCCCTCTTAGGGCAATTAGTTTTACAAGTTTCTAACATATCTTCACAGAGATAATCTAGAAATACTGTAAGAATAGATAAAATTGTATGTGGTGGTACATGCCTGTCATCCCAGTGATTTGGGAGGCTGAAACAAAGCTAGCCAAGTTATATTGTTACATAGTACACATATACAAATACCTGAAAAGGAATTATGGATTCTATTCTGTATAATAATGCATCAAATCAATTATAAAAAAAGACTATTGACTCATCAATATTTACCTGAGAAAATAAACATTTAAGTAAAAATTTAAGAAAGCATGAAGACATTTTTCGATAGAAAATGGATGGACTTAAAGACTATTAATGTTACCATAGTCTTTTCTCAAGAATGTGAAAAATTGGATTTTTGTAGCCAAGTATAGTCATACTTCTTTTTGAGGAATAGACCATGAGAGAAAAATTGCCCAGGCATTTTAAACTAGAAAAAGAAAAATTCCTCTCTCCTAGCTTCACAACTTATTTGCAAGGAAGAGCAAGGTCAAATTCCCTCAGGGCTTTGTTTTCCAGAAGGCAAAGGACTAGATGCCAAGGCATAAAGGAAAAAGACGTATTAAATTTTACAATCTGATTCGATTTTTGCCATCGCACAACATCTCCTTTCCTCCCAATTCTCTTCTTTATCTACAAGCCCCTGGCTAAAAGGGATGCTACAACTTCCTGTAGTCAGTCAGAAACAACTGTAACAAAAGGGATTCTGAGCATCCTTCTGTGCTCATGTGCTCACTGGACTATGAACTAAAAAACCCAATGCAGAACACATTTTAATGGAGGCAGAACAGTAACACCTTTGTATCCATGTGTGTCCCACAACACTATTTTTTTTTCCAACTCCTACAGCATTAAGAAAAAAATGAACTTTCTTTTCTCAGGTTTCATCAAGTTATTTCTACTTGCTCAGAGTAATTTTTTAGGACCCAAATTACCCACAAGTCACCATTACTTCAGCACAGTAATAACATGATACTCATTTCCAGAGCAGTGCATTGTACTTTATCAGAGAAAAATTACTATCCCTTCTGTGATGTAACCATTATTTCTTGGGTGACAAACCCAGCAAATAATCCTTCTAGGTCTTCCAAGAATATATATTACTTGCTCCCATGAATATAGATTCTTTTAAGACACTATCTTTTCTTTGTACTTTCAATATAACTACAATACAAAAATCCTCAGCCTTTATAACGGCAAAATTTTATGTACCATTGATCATCTATAATGTTATCTCTCATGTCTGCAACTATGGCCTATTTTAGAGTCTTCTACACATAACTCTGAATTTATAATTAATGTCACCTTATTTATCATAGGATTCTACTCTTTCACATATTGTGATTTCTCTAAGATATGATACCACTGAGCCTTTCTTTTAAACAGTTTTTTAAAAAAATATTTATTTTTTAGCTGTAGTTGGACACAATATCTTTATTTTATTTATTTTTATGTGGTGCTGAGGATTGAACCCAGGACCTCACACATGCTAGGCGAGCGCTCTACCACTGAGCCACAATCCCAGCTCCTTAAACAGCTTTTTAATAGCTAAAATTTAAAGGAAGCTGCCATCTAGCCATGTAAGAAGAATTTTAAAAAGAAATTAATGTACCAGAGGATAAAAAAAATAATGGAAGTGTAATACAATTCTATAAGAAAAGGTTGTTGCTGGAATCTAAATTCTAGATTTTATATTCCTCTGAAAATGTTGGAACCAGTAGAATTTCTAAATACCAACCCCTACCTCCCTCCTCTTTGTTTAATTTTTTGGGAAAAAATGCCCCTTTACCATGTTATACTATTCCAAAATGCTCAAGTGGTTTAAAAAAGGGAGGTGCATACATGAGCCAAAGAGAGGTATGCTTAGCTATAAGTAAAAATACCCAAAGATTAATAGGAACAAGCCATCTGTTAAAGTGGGGTAAATACAAGCAATGGGGACTATAGCCAACTGAAAAATGTTGAAAGCAACAGAATTCTAAGAAATTTGGAAATCAAATACTGTATTTCTAAGCGTCTTAGAAAGTGGTCTTAAAATGTTTTAAAAGTATTATACTATGTTGGGCTAGTTGAACACTCCGGTAATCACAGTGATTTTGGAGGCTGAGGCAGGAGGATTTCAAGTTTAAGGCTAGCCTCAGAAAGTTAATAAATGAAAATGAAAATGAAAAAGGACTGGAGACTTAGGTCAGTGGTAAAGCACCCCTGGAGTTCCCAGTACAAAAGAAAAAAAGAGTAGTACACAATTATATTTTAGATTGCTCATTGATACTAGGATTAACACAAAGCTTGTTTAAAAATGTGTTTTGGGGGGCTGGGATTGTGGCTCAGTGGTAGAGCGCTCCCCTAGCATGGGCGGGACCCGGATTCGATTCTCAACATCACATAAAAATAAAGGCATTGTGTTGTGTCCATCTACAAAAAAAGAGATTCTCTCTCTGTCTCTCTCTTAAAAAAAAAAAATGTGGTTTTTGTTAAAAATATACATTGTATTGATGCATTTAAGTATAATAAATTAGTGTTTACTTTGCTACTACTAGAGAAGATTTCATCAAGGGCAAACAGCAAAAGCAACTGAAAGGAGGTGGCTCTAAACACCAGCTATGACACAGGTGTGATGATATGTATCTACTGTGCCAGCTACATGGGAGACAGGCCAGGGGATCATGAGCCCATGAGTTTTAGATCACCCTGGGCAACAAAGAGAGACTCCATCTCAAAAAAAAAACAATAACAAAAATAAACAAGTTTTTTTTTAAATAATTTTATTTTTTTTAGAAGTAGTTGGACACAATACCTTAATTTTATTTATTTATTTTTATGTGGTGCTAAGGATTGAACGGCACATGCTAGACCAGCGCTCTACCGCGGAGCCACAACCCCAGCCCAAAACAAGGTTTATTTAAGATTTTTTTTTTTAAGGAAGGAAAGAAAAATAAAGGAATAAAACAGAAGAGATCTACTTAAATATTTTATACTATCAAAAGGAAAGCAGATAAAGAAATAAGTGTGATCAATCAAACATGGTTGTAATATCCTAGGTCCCTAGTTATCTTCCAAATGGGAAAAAAAAAAAAAAAACACTACCAAAAAGCAGATAATTAGTGACCTATTACATCAATTAAAATGAATGAATTTCTTATACATTAAGTATTTTTAAGGTGTTATGGTATAACCTATAACAGAAAAATGTTTGAAAATCTGTACCATTTTCATTATTTTCAAAATGTCTCAAGGGCTAGAAAAGGCAGATACCACCTCCTTAACTATCTATGGCATGGAAAATCTCCCCAGGGAAAAAAATCTTAAATTTTCAAGTGGGTGCATGGGTGTGTGTATGTGAAGGGGTTCTAATTCAAAATTTGTGAATTTCTCTACATGGAAATAAAGATGATTTTCTAAATATCCAAAAAGTATGAATTATTAAAGATCTAATAACATTCTAAATAAATAACATTAAAGTATAGATGAATATGTATATTTCATATACAATATGTACATCATTTCCTCCCAAATACAAAAAAGATCACCTGTAGTACCCTGAATGGGTAATGAGTGGGATAGATCCTGAGAGTGGCCAAGCCTCTTAAATGTAGTTTCAAGAGTTTGGAGGTTCCAGAGTAGATGGAAGACCATTAGGTTCCCTTCAGTGTTGTGATGCTATAACAGGGGAAACTGCTTATCCAGAATATGCATCAACACTAAAGTTAATACAGAAAAAAAAAACACTAGAAGTTTTAACTACTTAGTACAGTCCTTACCTAAAAAACTGCTGAACATAAAACCCAATCTGTGACCATTAAACTTCATCTGACAAATATGACTAAGAGTACATGCTTTACAGGCAAAATCCAATGACATCTTTAATGCATATTGCTTTCCAGACAAATCAATAATATTGCTAGAGAATAAACACATGACTCAGTCCATTCCTATGGAAAACACTGAGCTTTGTCAACATTCATTCTCTTTGAAGAGCCATCAGAAACAGCTCCTTCAAATTACCAATGTTGTTCTTCTGCATGAGGGGATCATTCTATTTTTATAAGTAAAACAACTTTTCTATGAAACTAGAAAAATAATACTGAAGCACAACATCATAGTAGAGATGTTATAAATCTTTAAAAAAGCATAAAAGGGTAAAACTTCTACACCGTGTATTTTCTTGTTTAAACATGTATGGCATGTAATACTTTTATTCATGTGTTTTACATACATATTCAAAGGGTTTTATAAATAATATTTACTTAGTAAAATATATAAACAGATTCCAGCTTACCATTCTCAATTCACTTAACAAATACTTACTAAGGGCCTTCCATAATACCAAACATTAGGGATGAACAAAAGGGCAAAACCAGAAAAGATCACTGTGGTTAGGAATGTTGAAATCAATTGGAAATACAAATCCTATTAAACTGATAATTGAGGAACTGCAAATTGAAAAACAAAATTACAAAATCAATTGATAAATTAGCAGATTATTCACATTGTCTGATTCATCTTTTCAAATGATTCATCCAACCTGGTAGTGAACCATTCTCAACTCATTTCTTTCATACTCCACATCTGATTCATCAGTAAATCCTACCTTTTTCCTTAGAAATACAGCCGGAGTTACATTTATAACCACCTCCATTACTACCAAAGTGGCACCATCTTTTCTCACTTGGACTACTAAGGATGTCTCTAATCTCATCCCTCAAACCTATAAGTACTTTATTTTATCTAGTAAAAGGAATTTTGCAGGTCGGATTGAATCAAAACTTTGAGACCATCATTATTAACAGGAGTGTCCTAGAAGGGAGGAGGAGGAGTGATTGAAAGGTTCACGAAGCAGTCAGGTGCCAAGTAAAGAAGGCAGCTCTCTAGAAGCTGAATTCTCCAGATGCTGTGCCTCCCGAAAGAACACAGCCCTACAGATCCCTGAAGTTAACCTAGTCAAATTTTCGACTATAAAATTAACTACACAATGATAAATTTGTTATTGAGTCTGGAAATTTGTTCTAACTGGTTACAGTAACATTGGGAAATACAACCTCCTAATTAGTCTGCTTCCATCTTCTCTTTCCTTTTAGCCTCAAAGCAGCAATCCAAGTTATTCTTTTAAAATGTAAACCATGTACTCAAATGTTCCAATCTACAGCTATGTGGAATCTAAGGTTCATATAAAAACCACCTCTCTGACATTCTATCCGTCTTTCTCCTAGGGCTGATTCCAGCTACAATGCTTCCTTGTTATTCCTCTCTTAGTCCTGGCGTGCTTCATTTTAGCCTTATCACTTTTCCCTCTACCTGAATCAGTGCTGCCTAATCACTTTTCCCTCTACCTGAATCAGTGCCGCCTACTCAGCTCTTTATCTTGAGGGTGGTAGTGGTGATGTTACTTTAGGTGCTGTGGACTGACCCCACCTCATGCTACATGCTAAGCTCACACTACCTCCTGGGTTATGCCCCCAGACTTGAGGTGTATTCTTAAATGTTAACCTTCAAGAAAACTTATCCTGAACATTCCATCCAAAATTGCAATCTCCACCAAATATGCTAAAAGGATAATCTGGTGAGGCCTTTAACTGGGAGATAGCATCTCCCCTCTAAACCCCAGGGAGTCCCTGGCACAATCAGCCCAGACCTGGAGCCTACTAGGCAGGCTGCCCTTCTCCATGGTAATCAGGGCTCAGGCCCATAGGTGGAAGGTGCTGACAGAAGACAGCCTAGATCTCATGCTGTTGTTGCAGCAACCTTCACCTCAACACCCCTTCCACTTTCCTTGATGTTCTTCCTTAGTATTTATAAAACATCAAACATAATGCATAGCTTATTTATGTTCATTTGTTTCCAAGAAGACTAGAATTTTTTCATTGTTCACTGCTGTATCTCAACAGATGGGGCACTGCCTGGATATATATTAGGCATTCAATAATTATTTGTTGAATGAATCAACATACCAGGGGAGCACTCTTACAATGGTAAAGCTGTGGTTGGTTTTTTGTTGTTGTTGTTGTTTTGTTTTTAAAGAAAAACATGAAGTAGGTAAAAGAGATAACCAAAAATCACTATTTACAAGGTAAAGATGTTTTCTAGCCACACATAAACATGATAGTTGGAAAGGATTTGAAACCACAAGAGTTTTATCAAAAATTAAAATATTCTGGAGACGCAAAAAAAACCCAGCAAACTGTATTTCTCAATAAAGAATGCAACACGGGCTCGCCTGGAACGCGTGGGACACTGGGTTCGATCCTCAGCACCACATAAAAATAAAGGTATTGTGTCCACCTAAAACTAAAAATATATTAGAAATTAAAAAAAAAAAAAACCGCAACACAAAATGCCAGCATTTTTCTAGGCATTTCTTCCCAAAACACTCGCACCTGCTAAACATGTCTTGGCAAATAAATATTTTGCTTTTCTAAAAAAATGGGGTTCTGACGTTAGCAAACCTGGGATCTAATCCATATTCAGGAAAAGAACGGAAATGAAAAGGGTCAAGCTGCCAGCATCCACTGCCTCCGCACCCCTCGAGTCGGGCCTGCAGAAGCTTCCAGCGGAATTGAGAAGAAGGGACGTAGTAGCGGCCCAACCTGCGAAGATCCAGCTCCAGGAAGGCCTTTTTTGGGGTGGAGAAGAGTCGGGGCCCAAATTTCTGCGCCCATTCTGGGGAGTGGGGCGGGGAGTCAGCGCTGTTTGGGGGGATCGGCCGCGACTCAAGAACCCGCGGTGCGCGAAACAAACCTGTCCTCCAGCAGACCCTGAAGGCAGCAGCGAGGCTCCTCGGCTGTTCCCAGCCACCGGCTCTATAGCACCGCCTCCAACTAGCCGCCTAGCGGGGCCGGCTGATGGAGACCGACGCTCGCAGTCCAGCCAAGACTTCAATTCTCTCAGCCTCCCGCAGCCCCTGCCTCTGCAGGTTGGAATCCTTCAGAGCAGGGGGCGGGACAACAGGAGGCGGTGCCCAATCGCGGCCGAACTCCGCCCACCGGCTCGAGGCCGGAACTACATATCCCATGAGGCTGTGGGCAGCCTCAACGCTCCACCGGAAAGGGGCTCTCAGAAGAGGGGGAGGAGCCTAAAAGGGATTGCGGGAGAAAGGCTTCTTCCTTTCGGTTTGGCGGCAGCCATCAGGTAAGCTGGGTGAGAGATCTTAGGTTTTCTATCCGCGGCTAATCGCCCTCTGCCTCAGCCATCCGGGCATGAAGACCTTGCGCCCTCGGAGCTCCTCCTGCCTCTTGTGCGGCGAGAGTCCAACTAGGATGCTGGGCTGCGAGGGCATGGAGAGGTGTTCCCCTGAGCGGGGTGGGGGAAGACGCGATGGCGGCGCAAATTGGAGCTGGGCCGGGAGCCTGAAGAAGGCGTGGGGCTGAGGGGAGGGAGGCTCGGCCTCGAGCGTTCTTGAGCGAGGCCGACTGATTGGGGAGGGTAAGTGCATTTTTCCTTAAGAGTTAACTTTAGGCGTCAGTAGAACCTTTTATTTACTGTGGTGTCAGCGACATCACATTGCGGGCTGGGCCCTTGGGGACACGCCGCCTGCCGTAGCTAGTTGCCCCTCGGTGCCCAACCAAGTCTGTCCATTCATCCAACGAAAATAAAGCCGAGTGCTCACCCGCGCTTTTCGTGCCGAGCTTGCAGAGGTGACTGAACGCGGCCTTAGAGGTGGGGTTTAGGCTAGCTGTCGCCTGCAGATGGTGCAGAGCCATTTTCATTCCCGGCGGTTCCCTTGTGTTGGTGGGGAACTAAGATGGACGGGCGAGATCTCATTGTACTTTTAGCGGCTGCTGTCTTTTAATGCCCAGTTCCATCTCGAAGGTAAGCCAAGATGGGCGCGTACAAGTATATCCAGGAGCTATGGAGGAAGAAGCAGTCGGATGTGATGCGCTTTCTTCTGCGGGTCCGCTGCTGGCAGTACCGCCAGCTCTCGGCGCTCCACAGGGCTCCCCGCCCCACTCGGCCGGATAAAGCGCGCAGACTGGGATACAAGGCCAAGCAAGGTGCGTGTTCTCTTGGCTTGAAAGCTTCGTTAAAATTGCTACTCGGAAGAGTTAGAAACCGGTGGTTAGGAACACACTGTTGCCCCATTGTCTTCCTTCGGAGTGCTTTGGGGAAATCAATTTGCTAGCACCTTCCGCAATTAAACTGGTTAAGTTATGGTGCACTTTGTCTGGAGTGGCAACTGTTCTGAAGAAGACAAATCTGTATCTAGGATTAAAAATAATCTTTTGTGTAATTAACAGTGTTTTATAACACTGGAGGGTTTTTTTTTTAATAACCTGCTCTTTTTGTGTGTATAGGTTATGTCATATACAGGATTCGTGTGCGCCGTGGTGGCCGCAAACGCCCAGTTCCTAAGGGTGCCACCTATGGCAAGCCTGTCCATCATGGTGTTAACCAGCTAAAGTTTGCGCGAAGCCTTCAGTCTGTTGCTGAGGTAAATGGGTTTGAGTTGACACTTTTTTTTTTCTATTAGAGATGGTAGGCAAGAAATATTTGAGCAACTTTTGTGATTGTACCTAGGGAATCTATTGTGTATAAGATGAGGTCTTTACCAATCTTGGAAATTAGGAGTTACTGTCAAAAACTGTCAGTTTTTGTTAATAATCTATGCTTACATAATTAATGAACTTGTGAAACTTAAGCTTTCAAAGGGGCAGTAAACTTTGTTTACTGAGGGGGTTGCATTTATGTTGCTAATCATCTGGTCTGTTGCTGTTTTTCTTCAGAGTTATACTCTTGTAGGGGTTTGCAAATTGTAAGCCTTTCTCCATAAGGTTAAATTTTTTTAAAGAAGAGGTAATATGCAGAAGAAATTCAAGACTTGTAGAAATTTTGCTGAATTGGGGCTGGGGGGTATAGCTCAGTGGTGGAAAGTTTGTCCAGCATGTGTGAAAAGTAAGTTTGATCCCCGAGACTGCAAAAAAAAAAAAGAAAAAGATTCAAACATCCTAAACTTATATTTGTTATCTAAGTATTAATGTTAGTGCCTTAAACAGAGAGTAATAGCAAAAGTGTATTTGTGTTTTAGCAAGTCTACTTTATTTCATGCTCATGGTGCCAGCCTCTTGGGGGGAGATGCCTAGTAAATAATTGATTAGTTACATAAAAAGCTTTAGTCATTTGTCTAGTAACCTAGAGGTAAGAGTTAGAATTCTAACTTGCTACCCTAAGCAAAGCAGGAGGCTTACCTTGGGCCTTTTTTCCTATTATAGGAGCGAGCTGGACGCCACTGTGGGGCTCTGAGAGTCCTGAATTCTTATTGGGTTGGTGAAGATTCTACATACAAATTCTTTGAGGTTATCCTCATTGATCCATTCCATAAAGCTATCAGAAGAAATCCTGACACCCAGTGGATCACTAAACCAGTCCACAAGCACAGGGAGATGCGCGGCCTAACATCTGCAGGCCGGAAGAGTCGTGGCCTTGGAAAGGGCCACAAGTTCCACCACACTATTGGTGGTTCTCGTCGTGCAGCTTGGAGAAGGCGCAATACTCTCCAGCTCCACCGTTATCGCTAATATAAGTATGATGTTTGTAAAGTTCATACCTAATAAACAATTTAGGACAGTCATGTCTGCTTAAAGGTGTTATTTGTCTGTTAAAACTAGTCTGCAGATTATTTCATGAATGCTTTGTCAAATTATGGAAGTTAAAGTGCAATAATGTTTGAAGACAATAAGTGATGGTGTATCTTGTTTCTAATAAGATAAACTTTCTGTCTTGCTTTATCTTATTAGGGAGTTATATGTCAGTGTTTAAAATATGCTATGTGGTATAATAGGTGTCAAATTCTTTAAAAAGAGGGGTGCTGGAACTAGCCCTATAGATTTGTTTTGGTGCATGTGACAAAACCTACAACTTAATTGGGATGATGTAATGCTCCAGTAGTGGTTGGGCTTTTGGGAGTGTGGCAGTTCAAACTTTAGATTTTGATTAAGATGATAGGAGGATATCCTAATCCTATAACATGGATATATGCATTCAATTTTGAAGCCCACATTTTAAAATTTAACTCAGTGTTTCATTTGTGTAATTGCTGCTTCTGAAAGGGGAAAAGCTTCCCAAATGCAGTCAAACTTTCAGAGGAATAAATCTGTTGTGAGAAAATTAAAAGAATCTTAGAAATTAAAAAAAATCTAGGCTAAACAAAATTGCGAAAGTCTTCACCATGTCCTATAAGTTCACATAAAGAGTAAAAGCTGGTTTAATAACGTGGCTTGTTGGATCCAGCAAAGTACATAATGCCAGTTTGAAACCATATTGAATCCTCAAGCCACATGTGCAAATGTATGTCTGGCTATTTAAAAGCACTTATTTGCTCAGTCAAGTCACCAGGAACTCACACAAGGGTACTTAAAAAGTTGTTACCTGTGTAATTTTATGTTGTGTGGCTATTTTTCTCATTCCTGGTGAAGCAATCCTCCAAATCTTTGAGTTGGTCCATCAATTAAGTATATTACCACGTTGTTTCATTTCTGTTAATCTTTTCCTGTAGATTAGGCTGCTCTTTCCTAGGGTGAAGTTGAATGTGGCGGAGGAATTGCCCCTTAGTCTTCAAATTCTGGGTTTGCTGACATTATAGGTGTTTCAATTTTAAAATCTAATTGATGCCCTTCTTGAACTGATTTTTCTTCAGCAATTTCAAGTCAATTGATTTCCAGGAAATAATCTGAAGCAGGCTCATAAAGCCTTGAGAATCAAATTCCTTTCTACCCAACAAAACAAAAGCCCATACATTTTGATTGTGTGTAGAAGTTGTTCAACTAAAGGAATAAATGACTGTTAAACAAGTGGACCTTCTGTTATTTTTTGTCATCTAGTACAAATGCTGTGCTTTGAGGTAAACCAAATAACCTACAAAAATAGTGGTGAATAATGGTAGGAATAACATTTTGAGGGAGAATATGTAGTGCTTGATGCCTAAGAGTTCTCTTGATTCTTCAATTAACTGTAAGTTAAAAAAATGAAAAACTATTCTTTATGTAATTTAGAAAGGAGAGGGGTTCTGGTAGGTTAAAGGTCAGTGTCCCCTGTCTACAAAAATCTCTTGGCCTTGTTGATGTCTACCCTATAATTTTATCTCTACAATAGTTAAATGAATCCTGTGAATCATGACACCAGTGCTGGAAATGAAGTCCTTTCAATGGCTCTAATATCCTTTACACCGTTCTATATGATCACAGCCTCAGTTTCTTAAAATAATTTCACTATAATGTCTTTGATGGGAAAACTCAGACATTAAATTTTATTAATTATTTCCTGATTGCCCCATGAGCTCTTCTGGTTTGCTTTAATATTTGCATATAAGCAAAGTTGACAATTCAGGTATTTAAAAATAACGGTTTTGGTGCTTGTCTGGGTGGCTCAACCTGTAAGCAGCAGCAGGAGGATTTCGAGTTCAGAGCCAGCCTTAGCAACTTAGCAAGACCCTGTCTCAAAAAATAAAATGGGCTGGGCATGTGGTGCAGTGATTAAGTGCTCCTGGGTTCAATCCCTGGTGACCCTCAAAAATAAAAAATACTTTGTTTCTCACAACCCCACAATATATAAGTACTATTTTTTTTCTTGCAGTACTGGGGATTGAAACCAGGGGCACTCTGCCACTGAGCTACATTTTCAGCTCTTATTTTTTTGAGACTTGCTGAGTTGCTTAGGGTCTCACTAAATTGCAGAAGCTGGCTTCAAATTTGCAATCCTGTCTCAGCCTCCCACATAGCTGGGATTGATTTTTTTTTTTTTTTTTACCAAGGAGGAAACACAAATATTAAGCAACTTGCTCAATGTTACCATAGTAGTAGTCTGAATTCAAATTCTATAAACAAAGCCCAGTGTAGTGGTATACACCTGTAGTCTAGTGACTGGCTAGTCTGAAAGGATCACAATTTCAAAGCCAGCCTCAGCAAATTAGCAAGATCCTAAGCAAGATCTTGTCTCAAGATTAAAAAAAAAAAAAAAAAAAAAAACAGGGCTGGAGATGTAGGTCAGTGGCAGAGTGCCCCTAAGTTTAATCCCCAGTTCCAAAAACCAAAAAAAATATTGATTAATTATTGCATTAACATTAAAAATTCAAAAGATACAATAGACTCTATAGAAGAAAGTCCCAGTTACTTTCCCTGAAGGCAACTGATGGGGTGAGTTTCTTGGATTTTTAATTGGAGATACTTTCACAAATGTACAAAAAATACAAATGTTTCTTTTACCCAAACAGTAGGATATTATACATACTGTTTTATATTTAATTAGTTATCTCTGAGCTTATTCTGTATTAGTTCATAAAGAACATCTATGACTGCATGATATTCCATCATATGGATATAACAATTTAATGTGATTCCTACTGATGACCATTTAAGATTTTTTTCCAACGTGTTATTACAAAAAGGAGTTTTAAATTTTTTTTTTTTTTTTTTTTTTTTGGTGGTGCTGGGGATTGAACCCAGGGTCTTATGCATTCAAGGTAAGCACTCTACCAACTGAGCTATATCCCAGCCCCAGGAGTTAAAAATTTTAGGTGTATGTAAAATTTTTAAAAAATATCTTTATTTTGAGACAGGGTTTCCCTAAGATTCTTAGGGCCTTGCCAAGTTACTGAGGCTGGCTTTGAACTTGCAATCCTCCTGTCTCAGCCTCCTGAGCCACTGAGATTACAGGCATGTGCCACCTTACCTGACAGATGTATTTAAATGTTGATAGATCTTGCCAAATTGTCTTCTATAGAGGTTGTACCAATTTATATCTCCATGAGCAATGTAGGAGAGGATTTTTTTTTTACTCCTATCCTTGTCAACACATTATCAAATTTTTTAATCTCTGCCAGTCTATTAGAGAAAAATGATACGTTACCTACTTTTGTTTTGCACTTCTGAGTGTGGCAGAGACAAAACTATATGCATAGCATAGATTTTTTTCCCCTGGACATAACAGCTTTGTTTTCCAAGGTCTCATACATTTAGATAGGGGTCATATCATATTCTTGCCAATAAAATGGGAGCAGAAGTAGCATATTACTTCCCCTCCAAAGCTCTCAAGAGTTGGTATATCTCCACACTTCCCACAACTTTGGAGGAGGCCAGTGATCCAGACAGTATAGATGAAGAAAGCTACTTAACCACTATCAAATGCACAAATGAGAAGAAGATAATGACTGTGCTAAGCTATTGTTAGCTGTTTTGTTCATATGACAGGATTGCCTAGCTCAACCCTGACTGATAAAGTTGGGCATCAATTAACATCTTAAAATAATTTATTAGACTTTTTTATGAATCTGTTTACCAGGGACCTTTTGTTATCTCTATTTTCCATCAGTGAATGAATTCTTCTCCCCTTAAGCATCATACTATATTCTAACTGCTAGCTCATTTCTGCTATGCGTCATCATTTTTCTGCTTAAAAGATTTTTAAAATAACAAAATTTCAGCTGTTCATTTTAGTCTTTTTTTTTTCCTCCCAGTGCTGGAAATTGAACCCAGGGCTTTGAACAGGCTAGGCAAGTGCTCTGTCTCTGAGCTACATCCCCAATCTCAGGTTATCTTTTTTAATTCTAAGCCCTGATTCTATCTCTAACTTTAAAATTCCTAAACCAAATTAGTAGGTCTATTGCATCAGTCTGGCTGACTAGATCTGGCTACAACTCTCAAATCTCAGTGGCTTAAATTAATAAAGGTTTGTTTCTTGTTCATATTACATATTTATTGAGGGTTGGTCATTGTCCTTACTCCAGAAACCAAGCTGTTTCGGGAAGCTATCATCTGGAATATTGCCAGATGTCTAGGGCAAAAGACAAAGAAAGCCTGGTGCAATTCACTTTAGAAGATTGTCTATTCACAGGGTGGAGAAGTGAAATCTTTACCAAGTACCTGGGAGAAGACAACCAAATGTTTGTGAATGACTCCAATAACTGATACAAAGTAACCCATTGATTTTCTTTTTGTCTTTTTTTTTTTTTTTTTTTTTAACCAGGGATTGAATCCAGGGTCTATGAGCTACATTCCTAGCCCTTTTAATATTTAGAGAGAGGGTCTCACTAAGTTTAAGTTGCTTAGGGCCTTGCTAAGTTGCTGAAGCTGACTTTGAACTCACAATCCAAGCCGCTGGGGTTACAGGCGTACACCACCACGCCCAGCTCTTTTTATCTTTGCACACACTTGAGGAATTATGAAGAACAGCTGGCAGAAGGAGCTAGTACACACTCCATATTAGAAGAAAGAAGTATTTTATTACTAACATTGCTTAGACTTGCTAGCTATGGTGGAGGTAAAAACAAATATATTGATGGTTTTTGTTGTTCTTAAATTCTCTACAGATCATTCAACACCTTATTTAATTGATTCATTTGGCAAAATACGGTCATCTGCACACTATCTACACATGACTCTGTAAAAAATTCATGTGATATTTTTTTTATGTGACCTGGTTCCTTTCCTGAGAACCACATAAATGTTCACTAAAAAATACTTTAGATTCTCATTGCACAGTATGATAGCCACTAGCCACTAGTAATGATTTAGAATTGAAATGTCAGTTCTTCAGATACAAATACATTCTTTTTTTTTTTTTTTTTTTTTTTTTTTTTGGTACCAAGGATTAAACCCAGGGGTGCTTAACCACTGAGATACATCCCTAGCCCTTTTTTATTTTTTATTTTGAGACAGAATCTCACCAAGTTGCTTAGGGGCTCATTAGGGCCTCCTAAATTGGTGAGGCTGGCTTGGAATTTGCAATTCTCCTGCCTCAGCCTCCCAAGCTGCTGGCATGTACCACTGCACACAGGCTTTTTTTTTTTTTTTCCCCCTAACTCTATATCCAATTTTGAGTCATTTTTTTAGCATAAGGAGAGTCAGGCCAGACATGGTGGTGCATGCCTGTAATCCCAGCAACTCAGGAGGCTGAGGTAGGAGGATTGCAAACTCAAGGCCAGCCTTCCAGCCTTTTTTTTTTAAATAGTAGTTTTAGGGATCAAAACAGGGTTTTACACATGCTAAGCAAGCGCTCCAACACTGATCTACATCTTCAGTCCTGTCACACTATACTTCAAGAGCTTAATGATTATATTGGCTATCATATTGGTCAGCAGAGAAAACTTCTGGACCACTATAGAAAGTTCTATTGCTGATTTAAAACCTTGAAATTTTTTCTCCTTTATTTTGCAGGAGATAGAGATGAGGCATATGAAATCTGTTTTTACCATGTGTAGATTTCATATCAAATTTATATTTCTTGCTATAAATTTTTTCCCCTTTTTTTCTGGTTGATAATTGGATTTCTAGAAGTCTTTGACAATAGTACAAACTATACAAACAGTACAAATTACAAGAGGAGGAACCACTATATCACCTTTCCAAGAACAAAGGTTTTAGTTTTCTTTAAAAAAAAAAAAAAACTTTAGTTTTCCATTGGCTCCAATTTGGCCTGCATCTTTTGCCAAATTGTTGGATCCTTGAAATCAATTTTATAAATATTCCTTATTCAGAGAAGAAACAATTCTTCAGATTTGTCCTGAAAGAGCCAAGCTGGCCTGCCATACCAGTAGTAAAGTGACATGCAGTCACAAGCTCTACTCTGACCACCAGCTACCCCACAGAGAATGATCCTAAGTGGAATTTATACCCAGCAACCCTCACTCCCTAGGCCCTTCCCCAAGTTCAGCTTCAGGAAGTTTAGTTAACGTGTATCTTGTTCATAGGCTTTAGCTATTTTTGTTTGTTTGGCAGTCCTGGGTATTGAACCCAGGGGTGCTCTACCACAGCTACATCCCCAGTCCTTTTTAAATTTTTTTGAGAGAGGGTCTCAC